GGGGAGCAGGAGGAGGAGGAGGAGCAGGAGAAGCAGGAGGAGGAGGGGCAGGAGGAGGAGGAGCAGGAGGAGGAGGAGGAGGAGCAGGAGGAGGAGGAGGAGGAGCAGGAGCAGGAGGAGCAGGAAGAAGAAGAGGAGGCAGGAAGGGAGGAGGAGAAGGAAGAGAGAAGGAGAAGAAAGGGGGAGGAGAAAGAAGAGAAGGAGGAGGAGGGAAGTGTGCTGAAAGCTAGGCATGGTAGTTCATACCTGTAAGCTCAGCACTTGGGAGGCTAAGACAGGAGGATTGCTGTAGTTCCAGGCTAGGTTGGCTAACAAATTGAGTTCCAAGCCAGCCTGGGCTACAGAGTGAGACCCTGTCTCAACAAACCAAAAGGAAAGCTAAAAAGAGAAAGTAGTTGATGGCTAGTCATCTGGAAATTTGAGCAAGAAAGCACTAGCCATGAGTTGTAGCATTTTGTGGGGTAACCTGTACTCTTTTGTAATCTGGACAGCATTTCTGTATGAAGGAAAATAACACAACTGACTGCCCGGACATCTGCCCTCTAGCTTTTCTGATACAAAGTGAACTTTAAACAACTTTTATTGCATTTACTTATTGGGGGTGGGGGCACATGCATGCCACAGTGCTTGTGTGGAAGGCAGAAAACAACTTTCAAGAGTCATTTCTTTCTTTCCAACATGTGGGTTCCAGGGATCAAACTTAGTAGTCAGTATTCCCAGCAAGCACCTTTACCCACTGAGCCATCTCACTGGCCTCCAAAAGGTAAACTCTTTTTTTCTTTTAAATTTTATTTATTTTTGTCATAGGATTTCACACTGTAACCTAGGTTGTCTAGAATGCAATGTGGCCCTGATTGGCCTTGAACTGTGGTCAATCTTCCTACCTTAGTCCACCAAATGCTGAGATTAGAGTAATGAGCCACTAAGTCCAGCTAAGACTTAACTTTTAAATTAAGATAATACTACTTAGTTGTGAAGCTCTCTGTGACGTGAGGTTGCTGGTGCATACCTCAGGCAGGGTTATGCCAAGCTAACCCTTTGATATGTTCCAAGTGGAAAAAGCACCCTCGAGAACATGCCATTAATGTGAAAGAATCATGTGGAATCTTGGCAAAGGTTTTGTGCAGTTCATTATACAAAGAAGCCTATCTGACATAAACAAATGTGTCTCAAAGAAGCAGGGCAGGTTTGGAGGCAAGCTGTGCAAATCATAGTCTCTTTCTCAAAATTATAAATTTTTAGAGTGGAAAGCAGTTTCAATCAACATTTCTGAAATGCAAAGACAAATTTTTTAGATGCACAAGCCAGAAGATGACACAAAAAGTAAAGAGTGGCTCTACATAGAATGCTACCAAAAGTCAAACTTACCTGATCTACTATCCAGAGGTCCAAAGTCCAAAGAGTACTTCACAACATGATAGTTATTCCACACATAAAGTAGGTTGTCCCTGGGGTTGTAATCCACAGCTGCTATATACTGGTATGAATTGGGAAAGGGTACATCCACCAAACTATCCTTGCTTTGGTCGGTGTTATAAATGTAGTCAATCTTATTTCCGGTGGCCTCATTGTCATCATCCTCATATACAGATTTGACCACATACAGAATCCCACAAATCATAAATGCATTGGAAGCTGACCTTTTATCATAGGCAGTATCCCATGTCCCTTCAATCCGTAGGGTGTAAGGGTTCAATTGGCTAATGACAATTTTGCCATTGTTCTGTTCTGTTGCATAGATTACCCATAGCCCGTTTTCATCCACTGCCAGGTCTATGTCAGATTTGCCACCCCATCTGTAAGGGGAGGTATCATGGTAATTGGCATTTGCTATGATTGCCTCTCCACTCTTTATCCTAGTCCGCAAATCAAACTTGACTATGTTCCTGGTGCGCTCTTTATTGAAGAAGAGAGCGCCATCATACACTACAAATCCAGTACCATCCACCCTGTGAGGCAGCTTGTAGGTCGTCGTTGGCCTTCCAGCAATGAAGTCATCTTTGGATGAATACTCAGTCAGGGTATCAGTTCTGTAAGGGGTCCAGGGCATATAATAAATCTTGTCAGAAGCCTGCAGAGGGTCTTTGCACCATGCCCCAGATTGGTGGTCAGATTCAAACAAGTGTTCACTCTGGTATACTCCTCTTAGTAGTCCAGGACAAAGAAAAACTGTCGGAAGGGGAAAGAGTTAAAATAATAAATACATTGACTTAATGTTTTCTCATCTGTTCTTATTTTGCAGCAAACAGAATGCAATTCTAAGAAGAGACACCCACCACCACCACTTTTTTTTTTAGTTGCATCTTTTTAAGAACACAAAGCATTCTTCCACATTAATTATGACTTTTTCTCTCCAAATCACTTGATTTCGCTTGCTAAAAATTTTGGTCTTTTTAGAAGCTGCCATGCTTCTTTACAATTTTTACCTTTGCAAACACATACTATTCTTGACATATGTTTTAGGTCAGCATATGTCTATTGTATAGGAATATAACGAAGTACAGAAGTTCACACACGAGGCTTTAATTAGTTCACTGAAGAACATATCTCATTTGAGAATGAAAATTCATTGTTTCCATTCTGATGAAATTCACTGTTCAATAGTTTTCAATAAGAAACAGATAGCTCACATATTATTATTATTATTTAAAATAAAGAAAAAGAACGTCTCTGCAACACAGGCCACTGAATCTTCTAGCAAAAAAAAAAGCTCTGAAAGCTGCTGCTACAACACACACAGAGCATGCAATCCATACAATTAAAAGTGAGTGATGGATGGACTGGGAAGAAAAAGAGAAAAGAAGAGAGAGAAAGGAAAGAAGGAAGAAGAGAGGAAGAAAAGGTGAAGGTTACAGAAAAGAACCCAAGATCTAGATTTTAATCAGTTAAAAATGTCCTGTTAAATACAGTAGTATTGGAACTTAAAAACATGTACCTTTTACTGTTACATGAGAAAAGCATTGTAAAACAAGATTACTGCCTATATTTTGCTGCTCATACTTCAGAATGAAAATGGGCAGGAATCATCGATTCACTTGCTTTTTAGTATGGTTCAGTATAATATCGTGAGAATGGCATTAAGACAGCTTGGCAGGTCATTGGTTATGAAGGGGCTACAAGCAACATTTCCCAGAGTGGCCCTTGAATCACCTGTTTCAAGTGATATAGCTAGGTGTTGTACAGAAGGAGAAAAGGGATCCTTAGCCACATTAGATTATAAAATAGAAGATTAAATATAATTGTGGCAGAGATTATAATAGCTTAAGGACACTGGTGAATCACCAAAGCAGAAGTTGGCGAGTGAACAAATTGCACAATTTTATTTGATCCCCAGAGCTCTTCCGCTGAGCCACTTGGATGACTGTGTTCTGCTGAACCTGCTCTGGGAAGTGTTACTCTCATATATTTGCAAGGCAAACACACTGAAAAGTAACCATGCAGTCTGCTGTTAGGTTTGAGATGATTAGAAGTTTCCTGGGTGGAAAAATTGGGGAATCACAAGGAATATGGATGTTGAGCTGCTTTTTAATGAGTAAAGGATTCTTCTTTTGGCATTAGTGATTAGCTATTTAGTAGTAACTATAAACACAGATCCACTGGAAAGCAATCTAGGATGAAACAGCTATGTATTAGAGATGACTGAAAAGGAAAGGATATTACTAAAATGTTCAAAGTTTCAACTTTGAAGAAATGAACAGTTTTGTGGAAAACCTGGCTTCCAAAATCTTCCACTGCAAGAACAGAGGGCCACTATCAATTTGTAACCAATAATAATATTGATTGTTAGAGGAATTTCTTAAGACTTTTATTATGAATGCTTTAAGTTATCAACATGACTCAGTCTTAAAATTGTATGTAACTTTTATGTTATAGTTAAAAATGGGCCCTTGGCTACTAACATTATTTAGATGAGACTGCAGGAGTTCAGGGTGGTGTGGCTATAGATACTAAACGTATGTGGGATAATTCAGAACATTATCATCTCTCCTTTTTCCAGTAGTTAACAATGGCTATAAGAAGGGAAACCACAGCAGAGGGAAATTCAGAAAGAAAGAGGAATAAATTGAAAGCAATCTTCATCAACCACCTCTACTGGATTTCTAACTTCCAATTTAAAAATAAAAAGGAGTAAAATACAGTGTTGATGAGTTTATAATAGTAATAATCTGTGTTAGGATAAAAGGGTCAAAGCAGCACTGGTCAGTAAAACAGATTAAAGTGAAGTTGAGCAGCAGAAGTAGTAAATAAATTTGCATAAAATAGATAAGAATTAATAACAAAATTATTTTAACTAAATGTTAAACTGTTAAATAACTTAGCCTATAAATAGTATATAATTTATGAAAGGTATTTAATTACCTTTTTGTTCCACTTCTATTGGAGAGAGAGAAGTAAAGAGAGAAAGGAGAAAAGAGAATAGATTAATGGTACTGTATTGGCCAAGCACTTTTTATTCACGTCTTCCAAACTGAAAGTAAATTATTTACTGCACTCATACTTGCTTAATTGCACATTATATGTTTTACATTTCTCTAAAATAATTACCTTAAAAATCATCAATAGTTTTCAAATACAGCATAAACATGGAAAAATGAAGTCATTAATTAACCTAAGACTGAATAAACATACCATTTCGAACTACAGGTAGGAGAAATGCAGGAATTGTTGCAAGAACACCAACAGTTATATTTGAAAGGGAGGTCAGTCAGTATACAATAGGAAGCTTTCAAATAATATGGTTAGTTTCACTTATAGGCACTAGAGCATATACAACTATTTAACAGAACATTTTTGCTTGTTTGCATCTCACAGAACTGATCTATTCAGAAGAAACTCCTCTGCAACTTTGTGTCCCAGGACCTTAGACTTCCATAGCTTGTCAGCCTTATGAGAGACATCTACCTTATGGAGCTACTAGTTAACAGGAGAGGATGATATCATGAGTAAATAAATGCACTTAGAATCCTTACTGAACAAACTTATCTTCTAGTCATCAATACTTGCTATTAAGGTGAAAAAAATGCTGTTTTTAAGAAGACTCTTTAATCAGAAGATTGATATAAGCAATAAGCCAATGGCTTTGGCCTTTTCTCCAATTCTTAACAGACTTGACATTCATTTAGAATAGGAATTTCTCAAAGATGCGATGCTTATGCAGAACCTATTGCTTTTAAGGTATTGATCAAAATAAGTAATTGAAAATTCTGGAAAAATGTAACACATACATCAAACTTATTAGCTTATTAGCTGGCCTCTTCTTTATCTTATGAATATCTGTATCATCATATGCAACTTGTCTGTATCCTAAAGAAACAAAAGGTACCAACTTGGAAAAGGCAAAGGCTTCGGGGAAGAATCAGCTTATAACATAAACATGAAAAATCACAGCACAAAAGCATGTAAAATAAGGCATTTTCAATGGAAGAGATGAACTGATATTCATCACATGGAAAATAAAATTTAAAAACCAAGGAGTGCTTCAAAAACAAGAAATACTGGGTTGTGGTAATTACATTTAGATGAAATCTCTGTGTTTTGGCCTAAAACATGTTTCATGTTTTCAGTTATTGTCAAAATGATATAGACTTTCTTTGAAAGTTCAATGCCAGATGATAGGTAAAAAACTATTATTATGTATATATATATATATAATGTATTACTTAGAAGGTGTCATTTCACTAATCTGCAAATCTTATTTCAATGATATTTCCAGAGTGCTTTTAGAGCCACAATTGCAATCTTAAAATAATTTGCCACCATTCTTAATTACTATTTATTTAGTAACTACAGTGTTCATGGTGGTGGGTCAATGCAGGCCAATGGAAAGCTGGATCTAGAAGTCCAGCTGCAGCATGCAGGGTGGCTGTCAGACTGAATGCATTTTCATTTTCTAGTTTGAAGTGCACCTTTAAGGTAAAGCATTTTTGTTTTTAAAGAGGAATGAAAGTGTGTGATTTTGATCTTTTGAAAATAGCCTACTGATTTGCAGCAGGCATCAGATGTTCAAGCTGAGTTATCAAACATATTTGCCCAGTGACCAAAAATACAAGAGTTGCTTGCCTTAGGGCCCCAAGAGGATGCCAGCAACAGTGGGGCACCTGGCCACCAGCTTCTCGCTCGGGCATTGACTGCAGCTCTGGCCTTAGCAGATTTGGGTTTTCGGTAAGGAAGAGGAAACCATGGCCCGGTCTGCACTGGCAGCAAGCATTTTGTTTTTCTTGTCCTTGAAACCTACTCTGTAGCTGTGGGAGAAGAGTACTCCAGGCCCAGGTCCTGTTTCCACCACGGCAGAATGAGATTACCCTGACAACTGTGCAACTAGTACCTTAAAATTTATTTAAGTCTCAAAAGTTTTAACTTGATGCTCATTACAATGAAGGTTGAGGTTGGAAATAAGAAGTTGACATTTTTTCAATTTTAAGAATTTTTCAATTCATAAAAGTATTTCCAATTTATTTGGTTCCTTGATAGCATTATTTCCTCTAAATTTCCTTAAATTGCTTATAAAATATTTATGTTCTAAAACAGTAGAAGTTTATTCTCGTACATATAAAATATTCTTCAGGACAAATATTCTAACTTCTTTGCTAGTGGTTGTTATTTTTTTAAGATTTATTTTTATTTATGTATTTATGTGTGTCTGTATATGTGTATGTCACATGTATGCAGGTACTAGCAGATGCCAGGGGAAGGCATTAGATTCCCTAGAGTTACAGGTGGTTGTGAGCCAAGTGATGTGGGTGCTAGGAATCAAACCAGAGTCCTCTGGAATTGCAGCAAGCACTCTTAAAAACTGAGCCCTTTCTCTGCACCATGATCTTAAAAAAAAAAAAAAAAAACTAGGGAGACTTGATATATTTTAAAAGCAAAGAAGTTGGCATAAGCTGTAGCATAAGCCAAGCTTCCTTGGTTACTTCTGGTTACTCAGAATTAAGATTTATTAGGCAGTTCTGCTTTGGAGAATAATTACTATGGTCTTGCCATGTCGTGACTGGCTGTAGCTCATTTATCATTTATTTGCTATTTTCAAGACTGAAGTAAGACAGTCTTATGATTTAAGTTGAACAAGCATGCACAAATCATATTTCCATAACAAAAAACTGGCAAGACAACAAAATTTGTCGTTAAAAGCTTAGCAGCATTTAGAACTGGCTAGTCTTTCCTTATTGTCTGATTCTGAAACTAGAAGCTCCCCTTCCCTGAAAGAATAAATCAAATGGATACAAGAAACAACATATTACTATATCCTTCACAAGCATACTGTGCTTGCTATATAAGCAATAACTAATGACTAACATGGATTAAGTACATAACACAAATAATGGTGAATATTTTTTTCTTTTTGATATACTGAAGATGCTAAAGATATATACAAGTGGTAAACCAGAATCTAGATGTAGTTGTAAAATCAGAAGTGCCAATTCATATAGAAATTTATATAAAATCTCTTAATATTTTAATATAGTTGGAGTAAAATAAAATGTATAAGGAACTTGTATCCCAGCTTATTAAGTGTAGAACTGGAGAAAAACAGCATTAAAGTATGTTAAAGACCTTGCAAGTTTACCAATAAAAAAAAAAAAATCAGTCGTTTGTATTAAAAAAAAAAAAAAAAAAACCAGTGGTTTTAATTAAAAAAAAAAAAAAGACCGCAAATACCTAAAAACATGGGGCTAAAACACTCCCTCTTCTCTGCAATGAGATCATAAATTAATGAATTGTCTGATGATAACTGGGGTGGACATTCTTCAGGGTCTCTGTCATTTAGTTGGTCCAATATCCTGCATTCTGACATTACAGCTGTCAATGTTCATTTCCAAATATCTTGGATATAATTCTCTTTTTTCTCTCTTCACTTTTAATCCTCAAAGTATTTTTATTGTCCATTCTGTCTCTATAAATACTCTTATATATTTCCTAAAGTGACATCATTGTTGTCTTTTGTCAAACTTAATGTCATAAGCTATATCCTGTGGTTAGGGTAAATGACAGATTCAAATGAAGGACAATTTTATTCTGTATCAAAGGAAGACACTAGAAAAAAAGGCAATGAGTGTATTTCCCTGCCAGCCTTCAACAATTCAGACAGATAAACTTTACAGGAATGGTATTCAGAACATTAAGATGTTATCAGTTCAAACCATTTTTGTACCATATGAAAATACATTTGAATTGCACTGTTTAGTTAGAAAAGGTATGGATCAGAGAGTCTCTTCATGCATTGCCAAGTTTCATCAAATTGCATTGCAAATTACAGAAAAGCAAATTTGCTGCTTGCCCAAAATTATTAGTGTCATAACCCAAAACTATGAAATTGTAACTAACTCTAATGTCAGCTTCCAAAATCGTAAGCTATAGATTGTATCTTCCTATATACACTGACATGCTGCAAATGAACAGAGAGTTATAGTCCAATGACATCTGTTTTTGTAATATGTAAATAAAAACATGGTTATGGGATATATAAGATGGCTATAATCTATGAAATAATTTATGAGCAAATAATTTTTCATTGAAATGTAGTGTTATTCTAAATAGAACTACTTTCTTTCTTACATATGGCTTAGAATGTTGAAATACATTTAGGTATCACATGCTTAGTAGTAACCAAAAAAAAGAAAAAATCAATCTTGGATAAAAATTTGCAGTTGCATCCTGCCCAAAGTCATGTGTAAGTACATAATCAGAAGTCCATAATAATACTTTCTATTTGGCAGCACATTATAATTTAATGAAACATTTTGTCACAAATTACCTGATTAAATTCTTCAAACAACATTGTGACATGCTTTTTATTATTCCCACCAGGGACAAGCTAACAAGGACTTGAAATGTTACAGGATTTGAACAAAGTCAACACCTGTAGGTGTTGCACACCTTTCATCTGTCTAATACTGGGCCTCTGGAAAATCATTCTCATTTTATATTTTCAGATGAGGAAACTGAGGCACAGACTAAGATTCTGTGGTTGAGGTATTCAAATTGGGATTCAAATATAAATTTTGATCTCAGTCATTACTGACCTTCAATAAAAGATCATTTTATTCATCCCTAGTGCCTAGCACAAAGAAAGACCTCAAATGACATTTGCTATAGTTCCCCGCAGTCATCAGTAGAAGTATGGTGCTTTCAAAGAAAGGGACGGTGTGACACTTTTTTTTTTGGGGGGGGGACTATTATCCCATGAGATTTAGAGACACATAAATCTCTCAAGGGAATATGGGGTTTGGGGCTGGAATCCACATTTCTTGGCCAAAGATAACAGGGCTTCCTTCATCACTAAAAAGAAACCCGTGTTCAAGACCTCCTGTCAGCTAGTTCTTATAATTTTGGAACAGATAATTCTCTTCCATTTTCCATTCACCAAGAAAATA